CTCCCAGTCACTTGCGGTATGATTGAACTACAGTACATTTGTTTCCAGTAGCTGTGTGAAAGATGAATAGTGATGACTTAATGAATCTAATTGTGGCGAAACGTAACGAAATATGACGATGCTGAAGATAAGAATTAAAGTTTACCCAGACTCCATGACTGCAGTGGTGAAGCCAGGACATTTTCTTATAGGTGTCAAAGTAGGGACTAATGTGCACTGAGGAGGGGCCGAAAACTGATCTAAAACCAGTTCAGGGTCAGTCTACACTGTACCAACTGGAAATTGACTTGCAAAATCTCAATATTTTCCAATTAAATCACTGAATATATTTTAATTGAGAGGGGAACTGCTTGTAATGGAGGTGGTGAAGATGTTTCTATAGCAACAACAAATACCCTGGTAGGAGTTATACTCTGACAGGTGGAAGAAAATCATCCTATTCCCACAGCATAATGGTGCCACCATCATGTTTCCCTGTAGGGATGTCAGAGGCAAGTGTCACTTTTCTGCTTTAGACATTTTAAAAAGATCAAAACCAGCCATTCTTCTGAAATATATCCTGATGAAACAGGACAGAATGACAGAAAGTTAATATTTGAATTCCTCTGCAAAGCTCTGTAGCGGACTTAACAAATCCCAAGAGAAAATAACAGCTGCTGCCTCACACCTTAAAATGCTTCTGCCTACCAGGATGGATAATATAACCACTGTTTATATTGGAGTCTAGTTTTGGTCTGCAGCTTATAAACCTGGCCCTGTGCAACATGAACACCCCTGTCCACAACTCAGGAAGTTCTGCTACTAAAATATCCTTTAGTTTTGTAAAATACTGAGGTCTGAAAAAATCTATGAAATATATACTTAATAATTTAACTTTATTGATCTCATATTGGAGAAATTTACCTCTGCATTTAACCCATCCCCTTGGAGAGCAGTGGGCTGCCATTATGGGGTTCAATCGGGGGTTAAGGGTCTTGCTCAGAGAGCCAGTGGGTTTTGAACTCACAACTTCAGGTTTGCAAGCTCTATGCCCTAACCAATCGGCCGCCACTCCCCACTTCTTAAAAATATACACATTTCCAGGTGTAAAAAAGCTCTCTACTGCTTATAAAAAGGCTATAAAATGAAACCCACCTTTTTATTTAAATGTATTCATTAGTGGAGTCAAAGAAATACTGTGTTTTTATGAACATAAAGAACCACTAAACCTTCCTGTAGATTAACTATAACCGAAAGCTTTATTCTGGTATAAACTTTGTATTTTGAAACAGTCTCAAGGTAAAACCTTATTGTAGTTCTTTGCCTGCAGGCTCTCCTCCCATATTGACCAGTGTCATTAACCTGTGTGTGTCCATCATATGGCGTCCATAAGGCTGTCTGGAAATGCTTTCCTGCCCTGGATGGTGTTCTTATTGTTGACCTAAGAGCAGGAGTTAGCATTTGATATTTAGACCAGGCCTTGGTCTGGTTGTTTGCTTCAGATCAAGGTAATTTGAGACTTTCCATATCTGCGCAAACGGTCGGAACAAAGTGGAAAAAACGAGCTCTGGTCCATTTAAACCAGACCAAACACTACAGGGATGAATATGGTCACATGAGGATAAACACAGCTACAGCAGCCATCGGTTCATACTGTGATCACCATCGTAAGGTCTGAAAGACACTTGGACTGTAATGCATATATTTGCTTACAAAGGAGCCTGTCTGTTTAACTCCCCACACCTAAGCTGAAGATCAATATGCATTAGTAATTGGGTTTATTTAGGGTCTCCTAAAGAGATCCTATCAAAATACTTTGATGGATGTTGATGTGAGTTCTAGGATCCGATCAGATCTTCATCATATCTTCATTTTCTGTAGAGGAGCTTGTCTTCTAAAATAAAATAAACCGTTCAGTCCCAATAATGGAAAATACAAGGATGCATCCAATCCAACAGGATAAAACGTGTTTATTAGCCTGTGAAGCCAAGTAAGAAACATCCAGTGAAGATGGAGGAGTCAGTTTTCGCTAAATAATGGTTAACCTACAGAATTCATACAGAGAGGAGAAACATTTCTGCCTGATCAGGTTTCTATCTCAGGAGAAAAATAAGGAGACATCAGAACACAGACATCATTTGGCGCCACCCGCTGGTTGGAATGCAGCGTTGCAGCAGGAATAGCAGCAGTTTCAGAGGGAAAAGTTTTATACCCAAACTTACATTAAAACTAAAGTCATTCATTTTGTTCAAATCAACACAAACTTCTAACAATGAACAAATAAAAACTACTCTAACCCAACATGCTAAACACCTACAAGTTGCATTTAATTCCAATTCTTAAGTCAAATTCATCAGTTTTATAATTTAAAAAGCTCCTAAACTGATTTTTCTAAGTAAAATACGAACCGGTTCTTCGTTTCAGGGTAAAACAGTGAATTTCACCATCGGTCAGCGAGGAAGATGTGAGGAAGAAGATACAACTTAAACTCTGTTCAATTCTCCAACATCCGCCTCTTTAGCTTTTCTTCAAACGCTAGAAATCTGTGACTGTCTGTCTACTGGCAGCAAAGGGTCACTGAGAACAAACATGAAATTTTTGATTTAAAGAAACAAAAAGGGGAAATAAAAGCAGAACTTCACTTCTTGAACATGTGAGCTTCATATCTACACTGGAAATTCTCTCCTTTTCAGCGGAAATCAACAAATTAACACAAGTGGAGAAACTGCTTTAGCTCCTCTGCCGGTTCAGGGCTCGTCTCCGTTGGTGCTGTCATCGTCGTCGTCCTCCTCCCCTTCCTCCTGCTCGTCCTCATCCCGCCTTCTGCTTTTCTCCTGTGAAGTGAGAAGGAGAACATGAGGAAGACATCAACACGTTAAAACCTGGAGACACCTCAGATGGTGGTTGACCTGGTCCTCGTCCTCCAGCAGGTCCCCGTCCTCCTCCGAGTCGTTCAGATCCTGACTCTCACTGGCTCTCTTCAGGCTCCCCTCCCTCTTGCTGGAGGTAGACGAGTGCATGGGAGACACCTCACCAGGTTCTGCCTTGGTGCTTTTTATCTCTGTGCACAAAAGACATGGAAATAGATCTAAGTTCAAAATATGCATGAGCTGAATGACTCCTGTAGGACGTTTAAAGTCACAGAGGAAGTTAGAGAACAAAATACTAGCAGCCATTGAACGCCTCACACTAAGTCCATCATCTTACAAGGAAATAGCACATCGACATTCTTCACAGGCATGACTTGAAGCTGAACCAGCAGGCAAACCCAAGAATAGGCGCTCTGGTGGCGATGCAGGTAGGGCGACCTTTAACGGTTAACAGGGACGTCTTCATCTGCCATCAGACATATAACTAATATGGGAATATATCACCTCTGACCTCACCTGACATAAAACGATAGAGAGAAAAACGAGCCAAAACAGGATCCATGGAGCAGAGCAACCTGGAAGCTGCCGTGCGTAAAGTGAACTGACCCAGCACCCAGCAAGCATACGTTACGCATGCCTTTTACATCACCTGAAATAGTTGCTATTATGTCCGACACCTCGTTGGAAGAAGGTGTGACCCTCTAGTTTCCAATGCTGCTGGCATTGCAGAGTCAGACATGTCAGGTGGAATTTTAAATCTTGTTTGTTTACAGAGCTATAAAACAAAAATTATTTGTGTTTTAGAAAATTTAAAGCCCCATTTTGAAAGGCATGTGGATGAAACACCATGGGACTGTGTTCTGGCCATTTCTATAAATATATAAACATGAGCAGGTGTCAGTTTGACCCGGTACCGCTTAAGAGGTTAAGGTTTATTTAATTTAATTCAGTTTATGTCTATAGCACCAACTAACAACACGTCATCTCAAGGCACTTTACAGTCCACCAGATCCTACAGTCAGATTGATTCACAGTTTTCTATCTAAGGAAAACCAGTTAATTGTATCGACTCAAATGCAATCCCTCACTCTAACCACGCTTGTAGCGCCAGTGAAGTAGTTTATGTAAATAATTGGTTGATAATCAAACGTTTTCTGACATTTTGCACAACAAAACAAGTAATAAAGGCATGATTGGTGCTGAGCTTTGATCAAGTCAATACTGAAAATGATGTTCAGGACATCCTTACTGTTAATCCCCAAAATCTGACCTTAGTGCATGGAAAAAGGACACTAAACGTAGTCTGAGGCATTGTGAACAAAGCGTATGCATATGTTGGAATGGCCTAGTCAAAGTAAGGATCTAAAGCCTGTTAAGCTGTGGGGAGACCTAAACATTGTTGTTCTCCATCCAATCTGACTGAATTGCAGCATTTTTAGGCAAAAACTAACAGAGAAATGTTTCAAAACAAAATGATTTGAATCAGAGGGTGGATCTACTGCCTATATCCATTTAAAGATAAAAAAAAAATTATATTTCTATCTTTAAATGGCTGTCTCCTTCCTAATTTACAATGATGCATTCCTTTCTGATGGTTTATCTCAGGGTCCAGTCCTGGAAGCCCGCTGTCCTGCACCTTTTAGACGTGTCTCTGCTTCAAGCACCTGAGTCAAATAACCAGCAGGACTGTAGAGGAGCTGATCACATGACGCATCCAGACGGTGCAGGACTCTGGAGCTCCAGGATGGTGATAAGAAACCCTGTGTACAATGTAGAACGGGAGAAAATGCAGTCGTTCTTGTAAAATGTCTGACCTTTAAAGGTGAGAAGATATGTATGTATGGATGGATGGATGGATGGATGGATGGATAGATCCAGTAAATCTAGAGGTGAGGCGGCAGTCGGATGAGGCAAAGCCTTTCTAAGCTCTGCTCTACATATAAAACCAGCCAATAGCCTTTTTTGACAGATATACTTTTTTTTAAAGGAAAACTGTCAAAATCCCTTCTGGGTAAAGATGAGGTGGATCCACATTACGACCCGACAGTACAGCGATTGTTAAGCAGCTCCTACACCTCTTTAAAAAGCTAAAAACAAGTTTCTTCTTACTGTGGTTCTTCTCAATGTGCTCCAGGCTGTCCAGCAGGTGGACCAGTTTGTGTTTGATCTGCGTCAGCTCCCTCTTTATGGTCTGTAAGTCGTCCGTTCTCACTGTGGGACAAACAGTAGCGGACATGTTAGTCTGCTCCATGTGTGGACGCATTGATGCCCTTCAAATCCATTCTATCAATCGATAAAACCCCTAAAAGCAAAGGATGGAGAGGTCTGTCCCACATCTAAGGAAACATTTCTATCTTTCTATCTACAATGAGTTCAGGTGTCGGATAAAGACCATAACTACTTGTGTGGGAGATCCTCTGGCTTCTCTTGGAGGAGGTGGAGGAGAAGGCGGTCCTGCTCCTTCTGCTCCCCCCGCTGCTCAGGCTGACCCTGGGACGCTTGGAGGGAACCACCGAGTGGGACAGAGAGGGAGGGGGGGGAGGCGCCCCTCTGGGCTGGTAGGCGTACATCCTGGAAGTGACAGAGGGATGAAGATAATGAGGCTGATGTTAAACGGTTTCACCTCATTTGGCTTCAAGAGTGAAAGAGGATTTATTTAGCTTTGGATTAAAATGGAAAAAAAGGAAGAAAATGGGAGGTTTGACATTTGGACAGTAGAGGGTTGATGAGGAATAAAGAGAAGAAAGTGAACATTTCATCCTCGGGGATAAAAACAGACATGTTACCTGTCATAGTAATCTCTCTGAAAATCATAATCCAAATCAAAAGATGAGCTGTGGAGCAGCAAAACAAACAAAAACAGCACAGATGTTAGAGCAGCACAGAACTTCCTTATAGCTCCTCACTCTATTCAATCTACTGTTTTAATTTTTCACATTTTATTATTGTTTTATTACTGAAATCCCATTAAAAGCTGAACACAAGCAGATAGAAACCAGTAGAAGAAATGTTGAATTAACCTTTGAGCCAACATGGGAAACATGGTTATTACTGTTAACTAAAACTAGCAAAATGACACAAACTATAATTAATAAACACCTTCGTCAGCCATAAGTAAAACTAAAAACTAGATCTAAAACAGTATTCCTCATCTTCTGAACACTTTGACATGTTGTTACCAGGGAAACAGCAGGGACACCCACCTGTACATCTCTCCTGCTGATCGCTTCACCGTCTTCGACCTGCGAGGCCTCGGCTCACCCGCCAGGTTGATGTCTGCAGGAGGTTCACAGAAACCAATAAATTTGACTTTAAAGCAACTTTATTAACTTTTAGCACTAGAGGGCAGCATGGGGACTTGGCTGTTAAAAGTAAACAGCAAAAAAAAAGGCCAATTATTCTGTCCCTGGATCCATTTTCCTGAGCAGATCACTATCATAAGAGCTACCAGCAGAAAAGAAAATATTCAAGGTAGCAGTGGAGGATTGCTTTCTTTATTTTAATGCAAATATAGTTCAACATTAGTAAGCCATTAATATAGAAAGACAGGGAAGTCAAAGCACTGATCTTCACCAAGTTTTCTTCCAATTCAATAATTTCACTAACAGCTCAAATGCTCAAAACTCACTATTAACGTTGGTTTTAGTAATTCCCTTTACCTTCAGTTCTATGGCGCCATTGGCATTTAGAAAGAGCCCCATCCATTAGATATAAAAGATCTGCCTCATTAAAGTCAAAGTTGTATTTTTTTTAAACGTTTTTTTCAGGCAAAAATATCCAGTTCGTGTCTCAGTTTATGCAGATTTCTTAAAAGCAACAGTTGTGTAGTTCTACAGTTTGTTCTACTCTTAAACATTAAGACAAGCAATCGCCTGGCAACAAACTATTTGATTAAAGTCAGATTGGTTTCCTTATAT